AACAGAACGGACGCTTTGTAGTCCGATTGCCTTTCGCAAAGCAACCCAAGTTTTCCGGTTCACGAGATGTCGCGGCTGCATGTTTGCGTAGATCTGAGAAGCGATTGCAGCGTGATATGCAACTCGCCGAGCGTTATCAAGCCTTCATGCTTGAATACCTGGAGTTAAATCACATGGAGCCCGTTCCTTCTCATCAGGTGCTCAATCCTGGATTTTATTTGCCTCACCATGCGGTGGTGAGACCTGAAAACCCTGCGAAAATACGCGTAGTCTTCAACGCATCGCAGAAATCGCAAAATGGTCTATCACTAAATGATATGCTTTTGTCAGGACCTAAGCTTCAAGCAGACATCTCAATAGTTTTATCTCTTTGGCGTCGATTTAGATTCGCCTTTACTACTGATGTTATTAAGATGTTTCGCCAGATAAAGGTTCATCAGGATGACGCTGACTGGCAACGAATACTTTGGCGAGACAACACTAGCAAGCCAATTCAGGATTACAGATGCATCACGGTGACGTACGGTACTTCGTCTGCTCCCTTTCTGGCTCTTCGGGTTATGAAGCAAATTGCAACTGACGGTTCACTGGACTATCCGGAAGGTGCTTCAATTCTTCGTCATACACTTTACGTTGACGACCTCTTCGGCGGAGCGGACACTATCAATGAAGCCGTACGCCGCCGCGAGCAACTGATCAATCTTCTGGGATCAGCAGGCATGGTCCTGGATAAGTGGGCAGCAAATTCCTTGGATCTGCTAGCAGGTTTGAATTCATCTTCTGCAACTGAAGTTGAATTGAATCAAAACGAGGTAAAATCTACCCTTGGTATTAAATGGCTTCCAAAGGACGATGTTTTTTCGTTCACAGCAACAGTAACTCAAGCGACTTGCGTTACCAAAAGGTCGATATTGTCTGAAGTCGCTCGATTATTTGATCCTCTAGGTTGGTTGGCGCCCATGATTATCGTGGCCAAAGTAATCATGCAAGATCTTTGGCTGGACCACATCGACTGGGATACGCCTGTTCCTGATCAACTTCATTCCCGCTGGTTTGAATTCCAAGCTGGACTCGCAGAAATACCGAGGATCCGGATTCCACGATGGCTTAACACCCTGGAAAGTGATGACTGGCAACTGCACGGATTTGCCGACGCTTCGCAGAGAGCGTATGCAGCTGCTCTATACGTAGTCATTCCAGGACGCCAACCCATGCTGCTCACGGCAAAAACAAAGGTCGCCCCCACAAAGGTCCAATCATTGCCACGGCTCGAATTGTGTGGGGCCACATTACTAGCTCGGTTGATTTCACACACTTTGGACGCAAGTCAACAACCACCAGCATCAATTCACTGTTGGTCGGATTCACGAGTCGTGTTGGAATGGTTGAAAGGACACCCATCCAAGTGGCAAACATTCATTGCCAATCGTACTAGCGAGATAATTACAAGCTTACCAACAGCGACTTGGAGACACGTCAGATCTGCAGACAACGCTGCTGATTGCGCTTCAAGAGGTGTCTCAACGGCTGATCTTGCTGAGCACAAGCTTTGGTGGCATGGACCTGATTGGCTGTCCATGCCTGAATCTACTTGGCCAACCAACATGCCACTTAGTGCTCAGACAGTTGAGGATGCGCATGCCCTCGCTGCATTAGAAGAAAGCACCGACGAAGGCGTCCCTACAGGCCCTGGATGCAACTGCTTATCAACGCTGCAGAAGTTTTCACGATTCAGTAAGATCCTGCGCATTTTAGCTTACTGCAGCTCGTGGCGTCTGAAAGCCCTTAATAAAAGTCAGTCCCACAAAAGGCTGAGTTATCAAGGCTGGACTCTAGCCCGAATCTTTTGCTATCGTGCAGTTCAAAATCAACATTACAAGCAGGAGCTTAAGCAACTACAGGCCGGCGAGCTGCTCTCCAAGCGGAGCCCACTTGCTCGACTCAATCCATTCATCTGTGCTCACGGATTAATTCGAATTGGAGGTTGGTTACAATATTCACCGATTTCTTACAACGAGATGCACCCAATCGTGCTGCCCGGAGGATGCATCATTGTTAAGAGGCTCGTCGAGGAAGTGCATCACATCACATTGCACGGAGGGGTGCAATTGATGCTATCTCACATATATAGATCTCTTTGGATCACACGCGGACACGCAGTAGCTACAGGAGTCTTTAGACGATGCATACAATGCACACGCTATAGTCGGCGAAGTCCAAAACAGCTGATGGGTTCTCTGCCAGCTCAGAGAACTACTCCAACACGAGCCTTTACCGTCACTGAACTGGACTACGCAGGCCCTTTTCCAGTGCTTTTTTCCCAAGGCAGAGGCGCTAAGTCAACTAAAGGCTATATAGTCATATTTATTTGTTTTTTCACAAAAGCGATTCATATTGAAGTAGCCTCTGATCTGTCAACGAGTTGTTTTATTGCAGCGTTCGATCGATTTTGTTCACGTCGAGGAGTTTGTCAAAAACTGTATTCGGATAACGCCACCACCTTTACAAGCGCTGCAAGGGAACTGCAAGCGCTTTTCGCCAAAGCCTTGCCATTCATGGACAGTGTGACGCCGACTCTAGCAGCCCGAGGTACGGAGTGGTCATTTATTCTACCACGGGCTCCACACTTTGGAGGGCTTTGGGAAGCAGCGGTGCGCAGCTTTAAGCACCACTTCCGCCGAGTAGTTGGCGATCTCACCCTCACGTTTGAAGAGCTGTCCACATTGGCTGCAAAGGTCGAGGCCTGCCTCAACTCTCGGCCTCTGTGTCCGTTGAGCGTCAACCACACTGACGCCGTGGCACTTACTCCGGCTCATTTTTTGATGGGAACTTCTCTGCTGGCCCATTCTGAGCCGTTTAATGAGGAAAGTCAGCCCATCTCCTTCAACAACCGCTGGAGACTGTTGACCAACCTGCGCAACTCCTTCTGGCGGCGATGGCAGAAGGAGGTGCTCCATCAAATGCAACATCGCAACAAATGGTTGAATGTTTGCCCCAATTTGACAACAGGCGACGTTGTGCTCTTGACAGATGAGCTCACCCCACCTACCCAGTGGCGTCTTGGACTGATAGTCAAAACACATCCAGGCACAGACGAGCTAGTGAGGACGGTCACTGTCAGAACTGCCAGTTCAACCTTCAAACGACCAGTGGTGAAACTGGTTAAGTTGCCAACCGAGCCAGAACTCTTAACGATTCACAATCAGATCAAAACGCGCTCGCAAGGCAGAGNGTCACGGGATCCATGGTAAGAACGAAGTTCTTTAAACAGGAGATGAGTATGAAGACACAAAATTTTTCAGGTAACAAGGGGGTCACCCGACCCATAGGAAGAACGACGCTCTATAAAAATAAGTACTGCATTCATGTAGTTCTCTTGAACAAAAACTTGAAAAACGAATAATAAGAAAATAAGAAAATTTAGTTCAGTTCAACTTAAAAGGCGTGTAGCCAGTTCCGCGAGAGAGTGGTATATGGGAGGATTCGTAAGGGGAAAGCACGTGGCGCAGGGAGCGAGTGTGCGTGTAGCATAAGGCAATGGATAGTGCATTTTTAACTACGATAGAGATGAGTTCTGATGCAAGAGTTTTTTCTTGTAATATCAAGTGAAATAAGGTATATTATAAAATAGAATTTTGTGGCAACCTTTTCTTTGGTGTCCATCGCTCTCCTGTCACTTACACCCTCTCTTTTATCGCCACTTTTTATTCTCACTATGCCTCATAGCCGTAGAGTATTGGGGGACTAGGTCCCTCTCTCCCTCCCTGCAGCTATGAGACCAGCACAGAAGAGAGACCACTTAAGACCTGAACCCATCATCCATATGTTAATTATTTATTAATCCATATATTAATGCAAACCATTTAAATGAGCACACGTTTGAAAATGAACTTTTCTCTAGATTAGAATGAACGTGCGTTTTAGAATTGTTTTCAGTGTCTGGAGATACAATTCAAAATAGTTTAAACGTTCTGCCCTTAATTTGATGTAAACCTCAGACCCCTGCGTGACAGATAGGTTAGGTACTGACTGTGTTTCCAAAAAGTTGGTATGCGATTCTACTAATGTGTCTAAAAGATAGTAGCACATTATTTTATTAACAGTGTATGCTAAAAAAATGTCTTAAAAATAACTGAAAGATGACTTTAGCTTCATCTGCCGATGTCTTATATATATCTTAGAAATGACTTGAAGATAATTAAAACATGTTTATCTAGTAGTATGTTTGAAAAGAGCTCCAAGGATATACTTTTATCTGTGAGGTACTATCATTGAATTTCACTTTTACAAAATAAGTGTAGCCAAACAAAATAAAGTTAAGTTATTTAGTTCACCTGGGCACTACTAGATGGCGTAGTAAAAGAAAAATTCACTTGAAAGTAAGCTGTTTATACCCATTTCATGGTCTCAGACATATCTAGGAGAAACTATTCCCTAGGTATACCACGGAAACAGTGTTCCAATCATAAGTTTTTTCTTCTGTATTTCTACGAGAGTTGTAGCCATAAAAACAGCTTTTTGAAGAGAAATGCTAGTTTAGCTTACAATCAGAATGGAATAGTGATATAGCTTATTCCTTGAGAACTACATTATTAGTAGACTGTTTAAAACCTCAAATATGTAAGCTATTGATTAAAATTGCTTAAAGTCAGCAGATGACTTAATCTTACAATCATTTTTTTGATTTTTGTTGTTTCCTTCTGTTTTAACTTTTTTTTTTTAGTTACTTTTTCCTGATTCTTTTTTATTCTGTTTAGTCCACTTACATACCTATCAATAAACTGATAACACTCTTCGTATTTTCTATCACATTTTTTTCCTTTGTGCTCTGACCTTGTCCTATGACAGTTGATAGATGAATAATGTTAGCAGATTCATTCATCAGCTTTTAAAGCTGTTCACTTAAGAGTGAATATTGTGAGAGAAGGCTGTCGGGATCAGTGTAGTTAACGCGTTCTAATGTAGGCGCGAGGAGATGGGAGCCTGGAGTAGTGGGAGCACACACACTTGGTCGTTGACTCAGGTAATTAGTACAATACCCGCAGGTGTGGGTGCTTCCTCTCCCTCTCCGGCCTCGAGCGCCGAGTATCTTTGCTGGCGAGCTCGCGTATTCGGCTGAGCTCCTTTTACTAGTACGGGGACCTTTCAAGTATCAAGTCGCTCCCGCGTAGTCGAGCTTGATATTTAAAGTCGCTGCAGCTTTTCTATGGCTAAACTCGCAACCATTGTGAGAGGATCAGGGCAGCCTTCTCATCGTCGCTAACTAGTCGCCTAAGGTATAGCGCACGTCTTCTCTGAGTAGAGGTGATTTGTTAACGAATTAAAAGGATAACAGGATCAGCCTGATTCTTGGAGGCCAGCTCGTTCGACTAGCTTCATCGTCGTCTCGAGCTGAGCCCCTTTAAAGTCTTTCTTGCTTATGATTAAGTCCAAGGTCTTCTCGAACGACTTGCTACATCGTCGTCTCGAGCTTCGTCCTTTATACCACGTACTGAGATTCGTGTTTCCTCGTAGCGAACTTTTGGTCAACTTACATTTTGTATATTATTTTGTTAAATACAAATTATCTTTACTTAATAGTCGATTTTTGGTTGTTAATCTCTTGCTAATCCCATATAAAGAAAGAAAGGAGATTTCTCAGAACTGGAGCATTATTATCCAGGGAGAAAATTTAAATGCGCATTTAAATTTTCGAGCATTAAAAAACATTTCTGCTCATTACGTGATCTTCGTATCTTCAGGTCACGAAAGCAGAAAAGGTTTAAAAGTCAAAAAATAAACAAAAGCTTAATTTTCACCATCATGTCATGATAGTAACAGCAACTGTCGCAAGGCTTTCTCAATATCTCAGCAACAATTGAGGTATTGATATAAGCAATTGAATACTGTAGATTATCGTTTTTCTTATCAATGAATAAAGTGTGTATATAATAAAAAAAGGACAAAGTATTAATTTTAAGTTCAGATAATGTATCAAGTAGTAAACACGTTTTTCTTGCTTGTAGACTGCTTTACTTATGGTAAAAAATTACTTGTTAATTATAATCCATGTGCTTATTACTTGTGTGACCTATGTAATTATTAACAACTTTTTTTTATAAATTTCACGTTAAAATGGCAGTGATTTGTTGGTTCAAAAATTTTCTGTTAAGTTCTTGAACCAAAATTTTTTTTATCATCATCATCTTCCAATATGTATACATACATGTATTCCTACAATATATATAGTTATTTGTCTGAGTAATTTCACACAAACCTATACAATATCCTAAGCCCTTCACAACAGCCCATATTCCTATTCGTCCTTAACGCCCCCCTCCCCACTGGCTTCCATAAAAAAGGTGAAATTCCGTCTTTTTCTTTTTTAATAAGACTTATATCAGTTTATGTTCAGACTTCCCACTATCCCTACTGCTTTTCTACAATGACTCTTAAGCTCCCAGTGTTCCCCACATATTCCATTCCCCAACAGAATTTGTCTTGACCCCTACTGACGCTCGCACTATTTTTGTACAGTCTTACTGATACCCTCTGAACCTTTGTGGACACCATCACCTATTATACTTGTGCATAAATACATTTCAATTTTAATTTAAAATTATTTTATTGTCAAACTATAATGAGATATAAGTTTAAATAATAAACTAATGCATACATGTATGTACATGAGTGAACTATGTTTGCTGGGAACATTTATATTTATATCAAGATAAATGTATGTGGTCGTCGTTTTTGTTACTCTGACTTATATTATTCAACTGTGGTTGCGATGGTAAAAAGTTTAATGCCAGTTGCAAGCTTCAGTGCACATCTCAGTGGATATTTATACAGATAACTATAGTGACGTTAGTTTGCTCTTTGATTATTGGTGGCTCTAAAATTGGGAGCTACACCAAGATGTGCATTGACTTTTACAGTATCATACCTTATACAATAGTGGCCATCACTAATACTTGAACATTAACTTTTAAAAACATGTTTTCATATATTTCTCTACACTAGCTATGAAGTAAATAAATGGTTTTTCAGGATGAGAAGTATAAAGTTTTGAGTGCGCTAAGCCTATTTCTGATGATATTAAAGATAAANCATGAGCTAAATTTAAAAACTAGAGTTGTTGAAAAATTTAAGTACATTGGATGGTTAACGTAATGACACACAGTTTAAAATAACGAATTTCTTAAAATTCAATGTTGAGTCAAAAATAAAATTCATTGAAAAAATTGGACAAATAGTTTTCATACCGTAATTACTGTTAATACTAAGAGTACACATTTATTACCATTTATTTTATATAGAAAGCAATTTTTTTTATTTGTCGCTTTTTCAATCACTACAAGTAAATAACAAGATCAAACTTTTGATAAGGTAAGCTTATATTTGAAAATCACCCAACGACCCAGGGCGCTTATTCTCCACTCTATGAAATAGATAATTATTTATCAATAAATAACACAAGCACCTATCACCTAATGACCTGGGACACTTTCTGGACACTCCATCAAAATAAATAATTATTAATAAATAACTCAAGAACCTATCACCGAATGACGCAGGGCGATAAATGGCCCCTTTATCAAATAAACAATTATTGATAAATAACACAAGCACCATCATCTGATGACCCGGGGTGCTTACCAGACACTCTGTTAAATAAATAATTATTAATAAACAACACAAGCACCTATCATTCAATGACCCAGGGCCCTTACTGGCTACTAATAAATAATAAATTATCAATCAATTACAAGGGTGCCAATTAAAAAGATCTTTGACGTACTAGACAATCAATCAAAATTTGTGAATTGCTCACATATGTTATCAATTAAATTTTTATTATTTAATAGTGTGGCCAATAAGTGTCATAGATTATCAAAAAATAGGTGTTTTACTAATTTATTAATAATTTTTTATTTTCTAGATATGCAATAAGCACCCCAGGTTATCAGCTGATAGGCACTTGTGTTATTAATAATTATTTATTTAGCAGAGTGGCCAATAAGCACCCCAGGTTATCAGCTGATAGGCACTTGTGTTATTAATAATTATTTATTTAGCAGAGTGGCCAGTACGCACCCCAGGACATCGAGTAATAGGTGCTTATGTTATTAATAATTATTTATTTGATAAAGTGGCCAGTAAGCGCCCCAGGTTATTGGGTGATAGGCGCTTGTGTTAGTTATTAATGATTATACATTTGAAAGAGTGGCTATTAAGCACCCTGCGTCATTGGGTGATAGATTCTTGTGTT